GGAGGTGTCCCTGCCCATGGCAGAGGAGTTGAGCTAGGTGATTGTTAAGGTCCCTTCCAACACATTCCTATGACGACACCGTTTCACATGGTTATGGCCATCCATGCTTTCCTCCAGCTGCCTTGTGCCCCCTGCTGGGTCCAACAAATCAGTAATACCAATTCGGAAACTGGGAGGTTTGTGCAGCACTTGGTTTTAGGCAGCCTGACCTGTCCTGGAGTCAGCTAGAGCCTTGCAAGACCCGCACAGCTCAGCACGTCTCTTCCCACCCTCACCCAATGTCTCAGGCCACTAATACAGGGAGAGTCTGGGAGGTGGCAGCAGTCTGTGTCCCACTCCTCATGGCTCCACGTTCTCATCATGTGATGCTCTTTGTGTGGTCCTTTCCCTCCAGTGCACAGTTCAAGGCTATTGAACAGTAAGGATCTGGAGATGAGATGAGGCACCAGAGTCATTCAAAAACTGGAGAAGAGAGCGGAGCTGTCAGAGGTTAATGTGGTGGTTTATCAATGAGGTGGCAACCCACGGCAGAGCTGAAAGCTCTTCAGGGAGATCTTCAGTCTGCCAGGCCAAGATAAACAAATCGGAAGGTTGAAATTCATCAGAAGAAATACAGGAAGAGGGAGGAGGGGACAGGCACTGTGGTCCTCAACACGGGTCTAAATGAAGCCCGTGGGGACATGTGCCTCCAGGTCAAGCTCTCCTATTAACAGCCCCAGCCTCCTAGAACTGCCCCTGGGCCTGCATCTTTCTGCCAGACACTGGATAGGGATGGGTCGGAGGATGGAGAAAATGCAAAGCTTTGCTGAAGTGTGAAAGATAGGCTCATGTCTTTGGGGCAGAGCATCTGGGAACAGCAGCCAGGATCTCACTGTCAAACCACAGAAAATTAAGAGGAAAAAAAAAAGCCAACCCTTGCAGTGGGATGTAAATGGTTCAGTTAAATGGACTGGTCCAAATCAGGAGGCAGCTGCAGCTAATGGGGAAAGCCACTGGGTGTGAAAGGAGTCTGTTCCAGCAGAAGAGTGAAGGGCACCCAAGGGTTGGGCACTGGGGATGCACCCTCATAGGAACACACTACAGGTTTGTTTGCAGTGCAGGCTTCTGGAGAAGAGGTGGTTTTACACTCTGGTTCCTTTCACACCCGGACAAGGGGCTGCCTGGAAAGTGCTTTGACTAAGTAACGGAACGTCTCAGCTGATGTGCTGCAGAAAAGCAAGGCAGACCCAAGCAGGAGCTCCCGCTCTTGCGCAGGGCCACCTCAGTGGGCCAGGATGGCCAACTACCAGCCTTGCCTACAGCTTGTGGAAGGCAGGAGGCTGCAGCTGATAGTGGGTCTCATACCCTGGGAGGACAACCAGAAATGAGCACCCCATGCAAGAGGAGCCCTTTTACCTGTAGGAGAAGGTCTCAAAGCCACAAACCAGAGGTGCTGGGCCACAGGGAGGGCTGAAGGCCAGCAGCACCTGGGCAGGAAAGAGATGCAATCTCACCACCCTCCTTTCCTGAGCTGAGAGGCACAGCAAATCAAGGAAAGCAGATAATGAAAGCTATTGCTATCTGCTGCTTGCTGGGGACGATGGCTGGCTTGGCAAGGGGTCAGCATGAATTATGTTTCCTGGCAGCACGAGACTGTGCTTTTAGAGGAATATCCGCCAAGTAGCGTGAGACAACAGGGCTCGGCACACGTTGTCAAGGGGCCCAAAGAGGAGGCCAGGACTAGATCATGACTTTGGGCATCCCCAGGAAATCCAGCCCATTCTGATGACAGAGATGAGACACATCCTGCTGCTCTTCTCTTTGTGTTGAAGAAAATACAACAAGCCAGGCGGAAACTTCCTGAACACTTTGGGAAGAGGTTGCTTACTGCATTAGCTTTTGCTGGTTTATACAGCTGTCCCTCAGGCAAGCGTTCAGTGACTGGTAATAGAAAATGCAGCTAGAACACAGGGTAAATAGCTAACCCCAGACCTGGAGAAGAATCTGATAGCTCGTACTGTGTGCGTGCATACACTTGTATGCATTCTCAGATGGCGTCACAAACATGAACCATGAAGTAGACACCATGAGGAGGTCTAAGACCTTGTGGCTTCCCCGGATGCCGAGCAGGTAACATGCTGGCTGTGGAAGGGAACACAGCAGGTAACATATGTCTATCACAGTGCACTCGAAGAGGATAGTGAGTTTGGACTGAGCTTTGAGTCGTGGAGATTTCTTATACATCCCAAGGAAGCTGTGGAGATGAATGTAGCCCAAACCATGTGCATTATGTCTCCCAGCCCCTCATAGAGGCCACAGAGGACACCCTTACACCAGCCAAACCCACCCTGGACCCAAGCTCCTGCAGAGCTTTCTCGCACAAACTGGGCTGGGAGACACCCCACCACCACATCTTCCAGTGCCTGTGCCCATCTGCAAGAACTAAATGCACCCATCAGTCTTGTCAAACTGCTTTAATATTTGGACATGAAGACAGGACAGAGCCAGTCAGGCTGTGCACAGACAAGATGCCCCCAAGCCATGGTGTAAGGCTTCAGGGCTTCCCTTCTCAATGGATGTGTGGATTCGGTCAAGACGCAGTTCAGCTGATGACGTCCTGAGCATGCCAGTGGGGTGCATGTGTGGGGTAGGGAAGAGGGATGGGGGCTCCCCAGTGCAGCTCAGAGGTTGTTCAGCTCCAACAAGGTCTGGTCCAGGACCTGGTGGATGCCCACATTCTCCTCTTTGGCAGTGGCCAGACTCTCTGTGAATACAAGGGACACCCAGCCACACAAAACCAGACACAGTCCAAGTGTAACCAGGTGCAGCCAGACCCATGCACACCACACCAAGCACAGACACACAGATGGACATTTCAGTATGGCAACACCTTCCAGACAAGCGGGGCATCCCTGCAGAGCAGAGTCCACACAAGCAGCCCCATCGTTGGCAGGGATGAGCCCAGCTCCCTCAGGACCTGCTGAGAGGGCCAGGCCAGCTAGACTGGTCACTGGGTGCAGGTAATCTGCAATCTTCAGCATTTTTGTCCCTACATGGTGCCCTGTTGCCCATGGCCAGGTACCTCTGCAGCACAGGTACCACTGCAGCACAGGTACCACTGTCAGGCCAGCCACCTGCACGTCTTGCCCCATGGCATTACTACCAGCCAGCCATGGGCACATGCACAAACCCTTGGCCAGCGAAAGAGGAGAGGCAGTGCCTGCTGCACAAACCCATGGTGCTCCGAGAAGGAGTGAGAAAGCAGCCCAGGAGGTGGGCAAAGAGGACAGCAGAGAGAGAGCTAAAGAGGCTGCAGGGATGAGCTCTACCAGGCAGCCCACTGCTGAGGCAGCCTGCTCCAGTATTGACTTCCATGTGGCATCCTCCTTCACACTAGAGACAGGGATGGGACAAGAGCTTTGCCTACTCAGCCCCATCTCCCAGGGCTCCCTGTTGGGCTCTTCCCTGTCCCTTGAACCGAGTTTGGGGAAGTGGGTGCTGCCAGGTTCCCAGCTCCTATCTCAGCCCCTCCCAGCATCCTGCAAGGACCCCCACTCAGCACAGTTCAGGGTGACCAGAGTGAGGAAGAAGAGGCTGGCCACCACCCCCTAGGACAAAGGGAGGTCACAACAATACAAACCACTGCATCCATCTCTGGCGGGGCTAGGCTGATGCAAGGAGCACAGCTGTCACCACTTGAGCATCCCAGGACATCACAAAACTCCTCATTCCTCTCCCAAGAAAAAACAGTCAGCTCCAGAGGGGCTCCCTGTCATCTCACCAAGCAGAGGGGTTACCCATGAGGAGATAAGCCAAGCATCCACACCCCTCCTAGCCCCATCAGGGAGCAGGTAGGGCCTCCCAGTCCTGAGTCAGCCTGGCCAAAAACGGGGCAGGGAGGCAGGGCTGAGAGCTCTGGGTAGCTCAGTTGTTAAGTTCCGTAAGGATGACCCGCAGCTCGTTAGTGAGAATGCGGTTTTTCTCAGCCTCCTGCCGGGAGCGCTCTATATAAAACGAAGACATCAGTGCAGCAGAGGGAAGAGAGAAAGAAAGGCAAGTTAGTGAAAAAATATCAGTGTTCCCCCAAGCTCTCATCGAAATCCGGCAGCCGCCCAGCCTGCAGCAGGGATGAGCTGGTCTGGCAGGAGGGCAGCTGGTCCTGGGACAGGGCTGTGGGTCCCTCAGTCTGGGAACTGGGTTCTAGGACAGGGTAGGATGAGGAAGCAGGAGGATCAGGGCCTCGTTTAGGGATTGCTGCTGAAGGGTAGGGTCAGCCCCTTCATCAAGGGACGGGAGATGCCAGGGCTGAGATCGCTGCTTGCAGCCAGTGTCTGGGAGTGGGCATGGGGAACGGACAGGACCAGGTATAACCCTGCTGTTTCAGGCCAAAATGGTCATGTATAAAATGGCACGAGATGAGGAAAAGCTGTGTATAAGAGCCAAGGGGTGGCGGGGAGAGCCCCTCAGGCCTGCCAGCCACAGCCAACCTGGGGGTCTCAGAGCTGCAAGTTGCCTGCAGCTACCTCCTACCACCCCGGTGACAACACCCACGTGAGACAGGCAGGAGATGGAGGACAGAGTGGCATGAAGACAACCAAGGAAAGAAAACACTTTATTGAAACAACTCAGTAACTCAGAGGGACAGAACATGAAAGTAAGATCATGAAACGCAAACTGAAGAGCGATGTGCGAAGGACAGGAGGGAGCAGGGGTGAGGGAGGAGATGCCTGCTTGCCTGGGAAAGGGCTGCCTGCGCAGCTGGACCCAACGCTCTATCCCCAGGGCCTCAGCTTTGGCGTGGTGGAGATGCCACTTCCCCTGAGCAGGTCCTCCCTGCCCTGGGCCCTGCAAGCAGGACCCGGGGAGGTGGAGATGTGCTGGTAAGATGTATGGGGCAACCCCTGCCCTGACACCAATACTGCATGTGTCCTGGTTCTTTTGCTGCCAAGCCAAGGAGAGAGCTGCTGAGCAAAGTGCTCCTGGGCACAACCCTGATCCCCACTGGGCAGTGCTGGGGTATGTACCTACAACAGCACAGTTACTGTCTGTGCAGCATGCAGAGGTCGCTGGGGCTGCTCCTCTGCCAAACACACCTACACCTTGCCTGCCCGCATGGAGAGGTACTGCAGGAACACCTTGTCCCAAAGGAGCCAATGGATAGGCACAGACTAGGAAGGACAGAGTGGGCAGGGGAAGTGGTGACATGGCCAGGCAGGCAAGCAGGAAAGCTGGGGAG